CTCCTGCCTCAGCCTCCCAAGTAGCTGGGACCACAGGCGCCCGCCACAACGCCCGGCTATTTTTTGGTTGCAGCCGTCATTGTTGTTTGGCCGGTCCGGGCTGGGGATTCGAACCCGCCACCTTAGGTGTACGTGGCTGGCGCCTTAGCCGGTTGAGCTGTAGGCTCCGAGCCAATGATATGATTCTTAATGGTGACAGAAATTGGTTTTGAAGGTGTAGTGAAAAATAATCTTACTCTTTTTATGTATAAAGTGTATATATGTATACATATTTATATATACACACACATCACAGTCATAAACAGATATGCAGTATATATTTGATATTAAAATTTCATAGATGGAGAAGGCAATTAAGTTTTTTTTAAAAACTGAAAAAGGCTCCTGAGGCTGGGCACAGTGGCCCACACCTATAATCCTAGCACTCTGAGAGGCCGAAGCAGGTGGATTATCTGAGCTCAGGAGTTTGAGACTAGCCTAAGCACGAGTGAAACCCCATCCCAACTAAAAAATAGGAAAACTAGCTGGGTGTTATGGTAGGCACCTATAGTCCCAGCTACTTGGGAAGCAGAGGCAAGAGGATCACTTGAGCCCAAGAGTTTGAGGTTGCTGTGCGCTATGATGATGTCATGGCACTCTACCCAGGCTGACAGAATAAACTCTGTCTCAAAAAAAAGCCTCCTGGGCAGCACCTGTGGCTCAAAGGAGTAGAGCGCTGGCCCCATATGCCACAGGTGGTGGGTTCAAACCCAGCCCTGGCCAAAATCTGAAAAAAAAAAGCCTCCTGAGAGGTTCAATAATGAAGAAAGGGTTAGGAAACACTGGACAAGACCTTCCGAGGGTTTTTCTAGCTTTAAAAATGTGTATTTCTGCCAGGTGCACCTACAGCTACTCCAGTGGCTGAGGTAAGAAGATTGCTTGAGGCTAGAGTTTCAGGTTGTAGTGTTCTGTGATCAGTCTGGTGAGTAGCTGTTGCACTTCAGCCTGGGTAATGTAGTGAGACCCTGCTCATGAAATAATAATAATAAAATAAAATAAAAATGTATGTTTCTATATGAAACAATGGATAACAAGTTCATTGAGAGCCTAGAATCTAGTTAATTTCTATTTGTGATTTCACAAGTTGAATTATTGCTTTTATTAAATAACTGAATTTCTCCTTCAGTGTTAATTTATCATCAGATGCCATGACACAAAGTGATTGACTTAAAAGTTATCCTAGTTTATAGATACATCAAGTTATTTTTATGTAATAAGGAATTGAATTTAGAGTGAACTTAACCCTTTAGTTTCTCATTAAATCAAAGATTCCATTTCTTGAGTCATATAACCATAGCTCAGTGGTTAGGGTGCTGGACACATACACTCAGGCAGGCAGGTTTGAACCCAGCCCCAGTCTGCTAAACAACAATGACAACTACAACAACAACAACAAAAAATAGCCAGGCATCGGGGTGGGCACCTGTACGTAGTCCCAGCTACTTGGGAGGCTGAGGCAAAAGAATCGCTTAAGCCCAAGAGTTAGAGGTTGCTGTGAGCTGTGATGACACAGCACTCTACCAAGGGCAACATGGTAAAATTCTGTCTAAAAAAAAAAAAAACAACAAACAACTATATATATATATATATATATACACACACACACACACACACACACATATATATATATATAAACTAAGTCAAAAGAACATTGAAGTAGTGTTATTTTAGGGTAAGTTAAATATTGGAATGTGACAAATACAATATAAGTCAGTGATATCTGAGTTAGAAATAGAAGCTAAATATGTTATCATATTGATGATATAGATTGTCAATTGTGTAATTAAAATATAGAGAAAATTAGTGATGCCTTGAGAACCAGAATGGATATTCAGTGCATATATTAGGGTCCATGATAATAAGGATTGTTGTTCTGTAGATTTTGACCATAAATGAAATAATAGATCTGTAACAGTAGAATTTCATATAATGAGATACTAAAAATATGATATTACATGGTTTTTATAATGAATTATTTACTCCATTAAACATGAGGCACCCACTATATGCCAGGTATTATGCTGAATGCTTACAGGTTAAAGTGCAGGTGAAATGTTTTCCCTGCCTTTTAGCTGTTCACAGAATGCCCGAGTTATGAAAGACTTTCCTCACATTTTTCTGTCTTTCACCTTTCAAAATGACATTGCTAAGATTATATCTACATGAGTTTGATTATTATCCTGATTGTCATTTCCTCATTGCAGATTGATGAACCTTTGACCTTCTTTGTTATGGTATATCTGAAAAAGATTACTATTTGATTTGTGTCCTCTATTTTCAAGTCTTTCACTATTTTGACTTGTCTTTAACTTCAGCTTAGATCCTTTAATCTAAAAGTACCATCCTGGGTTTGCTAACTTCCCACCAGATTATTACATCTTCTTCTTCTGTGTTTTCTTGCTACTGTGCTATAATTTTTGGCCACTATGTTTAAAAATATCTATCCACTTCTCCTTAGTAGTTATCCTAATTATACTATGATTATTGCCTTGGAATTTCACTTTTCATTTGCTATTGGAATTAGAATTACCATTAATTCAAAATTTGGTAATCTTACTATTTTCCACCATATTGGTGAGTGTGGCGTATTTTAATGTTTAGCTGGGTTTATGGGAAATGTTACTAAATCTGTTCATGAAACTGAGTAGTAACTCACTAGTAATTTTAAAATTAATATGTCTACATGAGAAGCTATATGTTATCAATGATTGATGTATTATTTCAGTTTATTTTGAAGAATATTGCAGAACTGGTGCCAAACCTGATCTTAGATTTTCAAAGGATACACCTTTCTTCTTTGTTTGGGGGAGGGGGAGTTGTACTTTTCTTTTTTAAAATTTGCTGAACATTATTAAAATATTGATAGTACAAGCTTTAATTTACTTTACAATGAAATTTGGTAAAGTGCTTTCTCTAGACCGTGTGCTGCCACATTCTAGGGAAGAAATTTAATCTGTTAGATACACATAACATATCCAATGGACACATTTGAAGAATTTCTATAACTGTTTTCTCCTTAAAGACGGTCAGGAGGAAGGAAGGGTACATGAAAATAGTTCTTCCCTTACTATATTTGTCCATTCCAACTGTAATCACATTGCTTGTCTCAGAATATTGCTTATGCTTTTTCTTTTGTTAAAGTTTTTTTGTCTGCTTGTTGAATTTCTTTTGTCTACTTTTTCCCCACATCTGTAGATTCTCGTGTGAATTACATTTCTTCATGACTTTACATACTAATCTGTGTCATCTTGAGTTTCTCTTTTATTGTCATGTTACTGACTTCTATCACATTTGCTATTTTGTTGTAATTTTTTATTTGTATCTCTTTTTTTAACCTATGTTATATGTATGTATAATTTTTTTTCACACGCACTGATTTATTTATTGTTTTGACTCAACTTTTACTTTTGAATTAGTTATTTTTCTTTTCAAAGTAAAATATCAAATGTTCAGGGGAACTTAGGAGAGGAAACACAATTAAGTACATAGTAAAATGTTACAATTTTCTTTTTTACAATATTTCTTAAGCAAAAGAGTACCTAAGAAATAATGCCCTTAAAAATATGAAACCCATGATTTATGGCCAAATTAATGGATGTGATATACACACACACACACACATACATACACACACAAACATACAATACAACGACCATAGTTAACTACCTTTCTACATTAACCACCTCCTTAAGTTGACCTAATTTTTTTTCTTTGAGAGACAGAGTCTCACTTTGTCGCCCCGTGACAAGGAGAGTGCTGTGGCGTCACAGCTCACAGCAACCTCCAGCTCTTGGGCTTAGGCGATTCTCTTGCCTCAGCCTCCTGAGTAGCTGGGACTATAGGCACCTGCCACACAAC